TTGAACGCACAATCGTCTACAAGAGAGCAATGCAATGATTATGCGTGTGATTAGCAGTTTGCTCGCTTTCTGCCCTAATTTATATTTTTCTAGTCATCTTAAGAGATTTTTGACAACTACAGTTGCGAAGTGGTCTGAGCAAACAATCATTCGACGAAACGAAGATTTGCGAACTTGCGAAATCTGTGTGAAAAAGCATGGATTAAGGAAATCCTTACCATTCTGAGTTCGAATGCTTTGACCGGTGGTACGTTTACCCGTAAGGGCGAGGAGAGCTTCTGCACCAGATGCCATCTAGTTGAAACTAAGGCAAATCTCCTGCAAAAGGTCATTCTTACAAAACTGTTCTGAATTTTAAAGTTCAAACACAACTCAGAATAGTGTGAAATAAAAAACAAAGCTCCTATGACTATTCATAATTATAATTCGTTAAGAAGACACAACTACAGGGATGACAGCACATCTGGGAAAAGGCCGAAATTTTCGCCAAGAACATTCCCGCAAGAGAATTTGGTAACACTGCCAGTGGGATGTGAAGCATGTTTTCGTGTCAGGACCCCGTAACTCCCCGATGCTCGAAGAAGATCGACAGGTGCTCTCGGCTGCGGCTCGGGAAGTCGCTGGTTTGTGCCTGGACAGCTAATTCTTTTCATATTTGTAGAAAATCATGCAAAACTGAAGCGGTGGGTTATTCTGGTGGGATTCGCAAGAAATGTTCCACCCATATCTGAGCTCTTTCCCCTAGGTTTGAAAAGAAGTCCTCACTCTTAGTTCACAACGGTTAGTCATTACCTTAAATGAAAGAAAGTGTTCCCTGTCCGTCTCAGAGCCCTGGGTACTCTATATTAGATCGCTTTACTTCGTTAGGACAATGCTGACAAAATATAGGGTCTAGAGATCAGTGATGAGGCGGTAACCATATATAATCCTCGCAGCTTGAAGGAACTATGCTCCAAACTGCTTGAGCACATTTAGAGCAGTTATGCAATTTATGAGTGACGAAGTAGGAAAGCTAAGCGCCTACAGTTACCCGCTTGAGGGTGAATCATGCATCCAACTTTTGACCTGGTGGATACACCTAAATACATACAAGACAAGAAGATTTTCTATCATTCTCATCCATCAGACGATCTTCCCCTCCAGATAATAAACTTGGCGATAAGAAGTTTGCCTCATATGTACGAGACTACTACGTGTATGAGGTTTTTTGTCGGATGGGAGGTGCCCACGCCAGAGGAAGCACTACCGTTCTTACCTACCTGTGCATTTGTCGGGTTACCGTGTGGGAAATCACTTTCCTCATAAATGCGGCCGGCTTCTACGTCCTGAGAATCGTTTCAAAGGTACCGCCGCGACTGAAGCCTTGACAGTCACTTCCCACGGAAGTGCGATGGTCGCTTGAGGGCCAGTTCGGCGATGCGGGCATTTTGCGCTTTTGCCACTTCCCACAGAGGTTCGAGCCCACATGGTGGCTCGACGAGCTTGCTCCAGCTTCACAAGAGTTCACAGGTTTCACCAGAGTGAGACATTGTAAACCGGAACTAGTGAAGCAGCGAAAGTGCAAAATGCATTCCCTCCCCCACCCCCCCCGTCACCGAACTGCGCCGTCGCTTGGGTATACGTTGGAGATAATTGCGCTGTGCACAACGGTAAGACCGCTTTCATACTTTGCGTGCGTCAGTTTTTGAGCGCCCAGCAAACAATAGGTACCGATTCAGCGCTTTGAGCGTCCGCTAGCGTTTTAGTGACTGGGAAGGTATAATTATCCAGCTAACGTTCTGAACGTCTATCAGCGTTTTGAGCGAATGAGGGTGTATAGACATCGATAATCGCTGAAAACGACAGAAGACGCTCAGAATAAGAGTGTGCGTGGGACTGTGGAAATGACTGGGCGCCCTCAAGCCCCTGAACGTTCCAATTTGGTCAAAAGTGTTTCCCAGCAGCTGCAGAAACGCTGCCGGCAAACTGATAAACACACTAATCTTGCTGCTTTAATACTTATTCGGCGGTTGAGAATAGAGGAATTGAACGTAATCAGTGTGCACTCCCAAGACGATTAATCCCTGGCGACCGTCACCGATTGATACCAACCCGCTTCTCTAAAAAGCGTTCCCAAAAAAAGTACTTCGAATCATCGGATCTCTCTTCTCCCATCAGAAAGAGATAACCTACAAGGAAAACTTCGAGAAAACGGACAAACATGGGGTGACCATAGCAACTGATGTTTTTCAAACCGCTATTACTATCACCTCAACGACCTTTTGCAAGTTCAGTTCTAGATATTTTAGAATAACCCTTGCTCCGTACGACCTCCTATTTCATCAACTTACTCAGTCTTGTTAATCCTAGAAGACAGCAAAGCTAAACATTTCGTATTATGTACGACATCAAAACACAGGTACCAAAACAGCACCAATGTTTATGGTTGCAACTAAACAACTATAACAAAAATATATGTCATTCATCCTATGGATGCGAAGGCCTAGCTATTATTTATTGATCATTGACAATTTCTACAGGAATGGCAAAGGAGAAATAAATAACTGAAACGTAGCAATTGCGAAATAGAATCAAGGCGTTTATTTTCACAATAATGTAACCCAAACACGGCTTGGATCTCTAAAATGACCCCTCGATGAAGAAACTACGCATACACGTTGTCATCCGCTTCTTGGAAGCATTGCAATTACTCGAATTCAAACAATTACAGCAGCTATCGTCGGAGTATTCTTCTCTTGTCATCATCTTCGAAGACCGTTTCGCATGGGCTTGGATGTGGAGGAGCAAGATTCGACTGCATATCCGACGTACCGTCCACTGGAGTGTTCAAGGCTCGTGGAATTCCTCTACCGACACCCATAGCGTAGGAAGCACTGCTTTCTCCGCCGACCATGGATGCGTAGTCATTTGTCTTAAAAGCACTGTTGATTGAGCGTTTGGAAAGAAATGAGGTCGGAAAGAAACAGAGCACCAAGATCTTGAAAAATGTAAAACAAACTTCTGTGAATCCAACAGACCTTAAAGTCATTAAGTAAGAGCAAAGATACTAAAGGATACCTACCAAAGGACTTTCACAGCCGTTTCTAAACCTTCGAGACGAATCAAACACCGTTATCGGGCTGAACGGCCAGGTTTGATCTGCTACCTGATGTGGTCCTGCGGGCTGCTGTTGACCGAATGGGCGTAAAATGTTGCCGTGATGACCTCAAATATGAAAAAGATTAGAAAAGTGTGAGGAACGAGCCAAAGCCACCAACAGCTGGCTGTAGCAAAGCAAAAAAAAGTTTGCTCGATTCTACTCGGCCTAGGGGTCGGATAAGGCGGGAGGGGCATTTTGCTAATTCTCGAGGTCAAGGAGACCTGCGAACTCTTGTGTAGCCCCTGGAAGGCACAGCCTGTACAGATCACTTGAAAAAACCTGCACTTCCTGTAAAGCTGAAGGCATAGACATAAAATGAAGCTTACAACATCCCGTAATCTTGCAGAAGTCTGGTTCCACCAGAAAAGGAAAACCGAAGAAACTAGCGAACTAGCAGAATTGCCCCCTCCCCCTTCTCCCACCCCCTCCCTACCCCACCTGCTCTCCCTACTAGGCCGACCGAAGAAACTAGCGAACTAGCAGAATTACCCCCTCCCCCTTCCCCACCTGCTCTCCCTACTAGGCCGAACTAACGAAGCCATGATTTCTTCCCATCTCTCCCCGCTAAACCGAACAGCGCCATTCTACACAAGCAAAAACTCAGCGAGCTGAAGACCTTGAAAGCATTGCAAAAATGCTAGCTCTCTAAAGAATGGAGAAAAAAATGAAGTCAGCCCGAATATCGAGAAAACTTACCAGCGGGTGCAGGTGAGCCCACGTACGTCACCTCTGTGGTCGCCTCAACCTTTGCTGTTCCTCCACTGTTCTGAGTACTATCGGCAGCACCTCTTACACCAACTACTGCATCTGAACAGTTCAAAAATGAGAAAAGGAGAACACTCACTCTAAGGCATGCTCTTGAATCTTCAAGCGCCTTCTTTGAACATGGTAGTCACAGTAACAGTAAGTGCAATAGTAACGTGGCTGCAAGCATGGAGGGTGCTATACTTCGCAGCTCAAAATACGTGAGGAAAACGCGAATGCTCGCGACGGAACCACGGCTTCGCTTACAGGCTACGAAGACTTGACTCCCATTTTTAACGGCTACTTGGTGCTGTTATTCCGCTTCTAACTCCATCCATTTCGTCCCTTTCATGGTCTTGTGTACGTACGACAGCGGCTGGGCGCTGGGCTCTCTTTGGGGCATTTCAGACGGGAGGGGTTAGTGCTTCCTTTTTCTCTTCATTCTGTGTTCTTTATAACCTTGTCAGTATACTTGAGCAGCAGAAATCGCCATCTTTGAACCAGGAGCATGCCTTTTGATGTCTAATCAAAACATCTTGCGCTATCACAGAGAAAAAAATAAATGCATCGTAGTGACTGAGAAAAACGTACCACCGAAAACGTAGTAACACTTTTCAGTGAATGTCAGCTTGCTGACCACATGACGGATAAGTCCAGCTTTCAACAGTTCGGCTGCATAATGACGGGCTGCCTTCCTATCGCTTAAGTCTTCAACGTGCTCCAACAACCAATCAACGAGATCTCGGCCTAGTATCCACAGTAATACAGTAGAAATAAATTCAGGAAGTAAATCAAAAGTTTACCTATAAATGACATGGGTACCAGGATTTTCAACCATTTCCTATTTTTCACCTGCAGTCCAGAATCTGGCCTTGCTAATGCTCTCAAAATTATGACAGGATCCATTGTTATTGACAGACGTTGTGTGGCCTTATGCTCTGAAATTTCGGATTTCATACTGATAGTGAGTACAGTTTGCTACAAGTAGTCCTCGAACTGCAAATTCTATTCTCTCCTGGACTACTTGTAGCAA